ACCAAAAAAGTGGCAGGGGGTGGGCATTGTATATTCACATCACACAGTGTAAGGAAAGTATGTCACATCCCTTACTTAGTCAGGGATCCTGATTTTCCATGATAAAAAAAAATTGCAAGTTCTCTGATAAAAACCCTAAAACCTGTGATTAAAATTAAAGAATCCCCAAATACACCCCCCACCCAGATCCTGCTGGTGCCCCTCTTTGCCCCCACAACAACCTCCCTGGACCCACTTGCCCTCCTTGCCCCCCACCCACAGACCCTGCCCCCTTGCTCTGCCAGAGAGGGCCCCCCAGCTGCCAGGCCATGAGACCAGGGACCCAGGTCCACAGCTCCCTGCCCCCAACAGAAGGAAGATGCAATAGGAGCACAGAGCTGACTCCCCCATTGCTGCCTTCCTGCTGCCAGATCCAGCAGGGGTGGGACTGGTTCCTAGTGGCTGTGCACACTCCTGGGGGGTCAGAGGGGACCCACACCCCCAGATCTGTGCCGGGGGCAGGCCATGGGCTTGAGCTCCTTCCCTGCTTATCTCCTGCAGGGCCACTGTAGCCCCACAGGTGAGACCCAGCACAGCTGGGAAGTGGGGCCATGCTGGGATCTCCTCCCACCACCACCCCCCGCCATGCTTCCTGCACCTGCTGCTGCTTTGAGTGGTGGAGCCCTGCGCCACTTCCCTCAGTGTAGCCTCACAAGCAGGAGGTGCATCCCTGCAGCAGCTCAGAGTGAGCAGCTGCTAGGAGATCCCGTGTGGCTCCCCTGGCCCCAGCCATGCCAGGTCACAGGGAGGGGAGCAGGGTGTCAGGGATCAGATCTGCTGCCCTGCTTCCCTCCCCAAGACCACTCAAAGTAGTGGCAGGTGATAGAGGTGCAGTGGGGGAGTGAGGAGATCCCAGCATAGCCCCATTGTTCCCAGCTATGCTGGATCTTGCCTGCAGGGCCACAGCAGCCCCACAGGAGGGAAGCAGGGCGGGAGCTCGAGTCTTCAGCCTGCCCCCAGCACAGTTCTGGGGGTGGAAATCCTCCTTCCCCCTGAGAGCGAATGAAACTGTGCGCCCGGCTGGCTCCACATCTCCCCACTCCCAGCCGGCACGTCCATGTGTACCTTCCCTCAAGGGCTGCTAGAGCCACTTTGGTTTAATGTGCATCCACCTGGGCACTCTGACTGTGAATAGGGAGAAGTGGAGTTGGCTGGGCACTCTGTATATTTCCCAGCACCTCCCCACTCACAGCCAGGGTGCCTGGATGGCTCCACATCTCCCCACTTGCAGCCAGAGTACCTGGCCAAGGGCACATGAAACCAAAGCAGCTGTAGCAGCCCTTAAGGGAAACCATACCAGGAGGCACCAGCTGGGCACTCTGTGTATTTCCCCAACACCTCCCCACTCCCTCAGCCCCCAGCCAGCTTCCACCCCAACTATGCCCCACAGCCCCCAAGTCTCCTGCAAGCCCCACTTACCAGTTCACAGGCTCCAGGAGGAAAGTGAGCCCAATCTAAGCCATGCAACTGACTACAAGCCACAGGATTCACCCTTCCCCCTCTCCCTCCTCCTCCCCCTGCCCCTCCAGGCAGAGCTGGGGCTTTCCCACCCTTTTTGCAAACAACTCTTGCAGTCTGGAACTCAGACAGCCAGCAGAGCTCTTTCCAAACGGGTGAAATACATGGGCTTTTCTGCTAAAAGAGAAAATCCACATTTTCTCTGATAAAACCAGGAAATCCATGTGTTTTTTTTTTCCATTTTCCCATGGGAAATGGAAAACCCAGATCCCTGCTTATAGTCCATCTTCATTTACAAACAAAAGAAATCCAAAATTTGGTAATAAAAACATGTGTGCTAAATATTCAGTAGTTTATAGTTAATGATTTTACTGGTGTATCTATTGAATCTTCTGCTCCTCAATAGAAGTAAAAGTTTCTAAAACAAAATTTAAATTCCTGAGCAGTGGTATATTAGGATTCATCCTAAAAACTATGTTTAAGATAATCCAGAAGTTTAGATGAAGGGCAAACCTGCTATTTTAATGGTGCTTTGGGAAAGGGAAGAATAATCGTTCTAAATCCTTACTTTCTTTCTTTGTAACACAATCTTTTCTACTTTCAGCTTAATGTTTTTCCGAAGTTATCCTTGAAAACAAGTGCAGGTATTGATAAGTTTTTGTATTTTGTCAATGTATACATGACTGAGTAGGTTATTGAACTTACTATATGTGAGTCATTTATAGGGGTCCATCACTGTGGTATATGGGCATATTTGCCTGGATTACATGGAAAACATTTCCCAAGCATAAAGAGAACACATTTCAGAAGCCTCCATAACACCACAAAATTTTCCATCACATTAAGAGCTACAAGTACCAATCAGGCAGCAAGAGACTTGGAAAAGTAATATATGGCCAGGCTCAGACATGAGAGACACCAGCAGATTTCCAGGAACAAGGACATGGTTGAGCCTTAATGCTCTACTTAGTATACATGGCTTAAGAGTACTGGATAAAACAAAAAACTTAAAAATGAACTACAAAAGGAAAACGGAGCCTAGAAGTTGCAGAAGTCTAGATCACTTAAAAACAGTCTAGCTAAGTCCTTAACATTAAGATGTTAGCTAATGTTTTAACATACACTTGAAAAGTCTCACCTAGAAAAGATATACCAACTTAAACATATTCCTTAATTTGAATCATTTAGCACAAAAAATAAAAATAAAGAATTGAGAAGACCTTGGCTGTACCACAGTCAATACTAGTTTTGCCATTAGCTTCAGAACCAAGCTCTTACTCAGCCTGCCTTGTTTAGCTAAGGTTTAAACACAAAGTTAACATTACACTTTACATCTCAGTCTGAATGAGGCACTTCATTTGTTTTGATTAGAGTTGCAAAATTTACCATAATCAGAGTCCCTAGCATTTTCACAAATAAAAAGGAGAAAAAGCAGCATATTCTTTTAACATGCTCTAGCTGGTAGAGTAAAATATCCAGCTGTCACAAGAAAGTTATATACTACCTTATCTACACAAGATTATTAGACTATGTAGCCACCTTTAAATCCTAAAGTCAAGCCAATTTTTTTTGGTGGTAAATGGGACCAACAGTGGAAGACAAGCACATTGGACAACACATTGTTTACCAGATTGTCCTAATACTCTTAAACATGAATTCTGAAAGGTCACATCTTCATGGTGACGCAATTAAAGCTACAGGTTATCAAAAGAGAATACCAGCACAGTCTCATTTTCTAGTGAAGAATTACTAAATTTACCTCTATTTTATACATCAAGTGATACATAGACAGTTGTCAATACAGAAAAATGCATAGCAAATGTGCAAAATGCAGTTCAAGATGAACAGGAAAACATCTGACTTCTCTATAGAATTTTGGTACAACTTTAAAAATAATGAACTACCTATAAATTTTTCCAGTATTTATGCAACAACATTAATCGTGATGAACTCACTTGGCATTAATATGAAGGCCATAAAACTGATTGTTGCACGAGTTTAATAGCAGCTGTATAAAGCATTTTATAAGGGTTAAAAATCTCTCTCTCACACACACACATTAGGTGCCTGTAGATGTGCGGGGAGGCTGCTCCAATGCACGGTAATTACAACATGGAGTAGACTCGATTCAAATTGAGTCTGCTGGAGCCTGCCAATTAGCCCACTCCAGCAGCCTCCGTGTCTCATGGATCAGCATCTCCACACTTAAAAATGGTGGTGGGAGTGCTTTAACTAAAGCTTGTTGAATGACCATTTTGAAGTGCAGGAATG